AAAACATTATTTCCCAGAGTACTGTCAGTTCTAAGTAACTAACTGGCATAAGAATCAGAGAAACAAATGACAATGAGCTACCACTTTACACCTCCCATGGTCATAAGAAAACATACGGACAAAACAAGTGTTGACAAGGATGTGGACATTGCTGGTGGGAATGTAAAACAGTGCAGCTACTTTGAAAATCAGTTTGGCAGTTCTTCGGAAAGTTAAATGTGCAGTCACCATATGATCCAGCAATTCTATTCCTAGGTATATGCACAAGAGAACTGAAAACATACACGGACACAAAAACTTACACACGAATGTCCACAGCAGTAATTCATAATGAAGAAACAATCCACATGTCTATCAAGTGATGAATAAATAAACAAAATATGGTATATCCATACACTGGATTATTACTCAGCCATGAAAACATTATTCTCAGTAAAAGAAACCAGACATAAAAGGCCACATGTTATATGATGCCATTAACATGAAATGTCCACAACAGGCAAATCTATAGAGACAGAAAGTAGACTACTGGTTATCAACACTGGTGGGTACAAGCTTCTTTTCAGGGAGATGAAAATTCTCTGCAATTAGACTGGTGATGGTTGTACAACTTTGTGAATGTACTGAAAACCACAGAATTATACACTTCAAAAAGGTGAATTTTATGGTATGTAAATTATTGCACAATAAAAAAGAAAGAATCGGAAAAGGAAAGTGACTAGGGAAAGTTAGGGCAAAGAAGGAAAGGATTATGTATTCCTTGTCTTGCAGCACGGAAACTAAATGTTGGTTCTGTGTCCTGGAAAGCAGGCTCTTCTATGACACTCTCCTAATATTACTAGGACAGAGTGTAATCTTTGCCAAGTACAGGAATCAAATTGATTCAGACCTAATTTATCAGATAATTTTAAGTTCTGGTTTTCTTCTAGGACTAAGTTAAAAGATTTCAAAAATACAAACATTCCATACAGATTTTATCAGTTTTCTTTTTATGGGCTTTTGGCTGCTGGTTCAGAATTTCTTCTACTGCCATACATCGCTCTTCCTAATGCACAGCCAAGCCTGATTCTGATGCCAAACTTGTGACGGGCGCCTCCGTCATTAACATAAATGGAGATCCAGGGGAAAAAAAAACAGTTGCTATCAAGTGAATTCCAACTCACGGCAACCCCAAGTGTGTTAGAGTAGAATGGCTTCACATGGTTTTCAAAGGCTGTGATATTTTGGATGTAGATTGCCAGACCTTTCTTCCAAGGCACCTCTGGGTGGATTTGAATTGTCAATCTTTCAGTTAGTAGATGAGAGCTTAATAGTTTATGCCACCCAGGGAATTCTAAAACAAACAAACAAGAAAAATCCCTGTTCCCATTGCCACTGAGTGGATTCCGACTCATAGCGACTCTATAAGACAGAGTAGAACTATCCCATAGGGTTTCCAAGGCTGTAATCTTTATGGAAGCAGACTGCCACATCTTTCTCCTGCTGAGCGGCTGCTGGGTTTGAACCACTGACCTTTTAGTTATCAGCTAAGTGCTTAACTACTGTGTCTCCAGGGCTTCTTAAAACAGCATCAGCTGCACATATCATATTCTTACGCAAATAATATGCACTTTCTATGTTTGTTTGACAATCGTGCCTCTCCCACCCCATGAGGTATTTTCGTAAGTGCGTTATGCTAATTTTTTCAGCAACATGTAAAAATAAATTGGCATAATAGCACTTATGAAAATACCTCACAGGGGAGGATGCAGTTGGCAAACAAATGTAGAAGGTGTGCGTTATTTGTGTAAAATACAGTCATTCTATGTTGTCTTTTATGCATGAGAACCAAAACCAAATTCACTGCCATCGAGTCGATTTTGACTCAGACAGACTCTCTCTAGGACACAGCAGAATGGCCCCATAGGGTTTCCAAAGTGGTGAATCTTTCCAGAAGCAGACTGCCACATCCTTCTCCCGCAGAGTATCTGGTGGGTTCAAACCTTTGACCTTTTGGTTAACAGCTGAGCACTTAACCATTGTGCCACTGTGGCTCTACACGCCTGAGAAAAATAGCACTTTCATTAAATAAATATTAAACTAGGTTTCTGTTTTCAGAACTGATTCGATGGCACCTAACAGCAAGGTTTCTGTTTAATTTCACTATTGTTTAAACTCCCCTCCTGGGAAAGCAAAATTCTGGGATATTAGGAAGGGGCTGAGCAGATCCCTGGTGGCATAATGGTTAAGAGCTATGGCTGCTAACCAAAAGGCTGACAGTTCGAATTCACCAGCCGCTCCTTGGAAACCCTGTGGGGAAGTTCTACTCCATCCTACAGAGTTGCTATGAGTCAAAATCGACTAGTCAGCAACGGGTTACAGGGGCAGGGGCTGAAGTCCTGGAGGCCTGAGCCAGGAACATCGTTAGGTAGGGACTGGCCCATGAACTACTAAGTTAGTAAATTGAGTGATACCAGAAACAGCAGTTAGATCAAGGGACGGATTACCCAATAAGCAAGGTAAGCACGTGCTCAGGGCATCAACAATCCAGGGGCACCAGTTGTCCAGAGCAAAGACCCACAGATGGCAAGCAGACAAGACACAAGGAAAAGGGAACACCAGAGTGGAAGGGAACTGGCAGGGCACTAAATGGAACTGATACCAGCTCCAGGGCGTGAGAATGTGCCGGCCAGGTTGTTTAACCTATGAGGCCCCTACCCTCCAACACTTCCCTTGACATTTGTCCCCTGCCATGTAATTGAAACTTCTCATTTTGGTGGATCTTTTGGGAGTATATTATTTCTTTCTAACAAACAAGAGGTGGGGGTGGGTTGTCGAGTCTAATTCTTGCTACATTCACCCAATATGCAACTGGATCCAATATGAGCAGTTACTGGGCCATGATAGGTTATATTAATAAATGGGTCTCTGAT